CGATCCCCCCCCCCCCCCCCCCCCACAAAATTTTGCAGTGAAGATCTCAAGGCAAAGTTTCTTGATGTAGGAACATGCTGGCTGTTCATAGGGCCTGTACAGGCCAGACACATTACAAGGGGGTGGGTAATTTTTTTTTTTTTGAATAATCCCCCAACCCCCTCACACGGCATGTGAGGGGGCCTGTACATTAGGCATTTTCCCTTGATGTAATAGTTCTTGGAGTTGCAAGACAAAATTAGCTCATACTTGATTTAGATAAAAACTATATTTTTAATAAATTGTGATAAAAATTAATGAAATAAAAGATTGAAAAGTTGATAAAAGTTTTGGATCCTGTAAAATGTGATTGAAAATGAATTTGAAAAAAAATGAAATTTATGAAATGAGGCCCAAATCTCCGTTGAGATAGGTGTTTGAGATAACCGAGGATGCAAAAGACTTGGAAAGCTCACATAAGTGTAAGTCAAATAGACCATTTACACAAAAATGGACTATTTATTGGACACTTTTTAAGAGGTTATGACTCACTCGAATCCCCTATAAACGCTATCAATTTTCAATAATTTGTGATTCGTGAAGATTTTATAGGTCAAAAAGTGCAGAAAAAGTGTGCATATTACCATGGGAGTTAAATGGGGGCAAATTGAGTTGCTCGCTGTGACCAATTTTTAATTTTTTTTTTCTAACTAAAATGTATATGACAGGTCATTTCATACTCGAGTAAACTCGTCTGAGACAACGAATGATTCATACGAAAAATTTGCTGCTCAGATCGTGCCCGCAATTCATCTCGAACATGAGATTTCGTATCTAAACTCAGTGAATACAGCAGAACAATTAACCCCACAAATTGTGAGGAAGTTTTTGCTTTTCTTCACTAAATTTTACTAATCTAGTTGAACATTTAAGAGAGAAAGAAGTAGAAATGACTGGTCACTTGTCCAAAATTAAGACAGACGTCAAGAAAGTGCTAAAAATTACATAATTCAGTGGTTTTTTTTTTTATTACCTTTTTGTTAACTACAAGATTTATGTGCAAAAATAAATAAATTTAGTGGGCTGATGTGCTAAGAGTTATAAAAGTGAGGGGACAAGTTGGCCACAAATAAAAATGGAGACAAGTTGCTTTAAAATGGTTAAAAGAGGTAGTTAGCATTAGTTGCTTTTTATATATTTTCTCAGAAAAAAGTATCAAATTTTGTTACTTTAGGAAGGCAAGTGCCAAAATTTAATTAATTTATAACTTGGAAAAGCTTTATCTTTCAAGAAATAAAGGCAAAAATCTTGAAAAGTAAGTTTCTCTTTCTTTTTAGTATATCTCATACAATTCATCAATTTTTTTACTTATTTGTTTACACTTTTAGCTGCAAAGTAAAATGGATGGTAACAAAAATGCAGAAAAAAATTGGAAAAAAAAAATACCCTTTGTTATATAGGTAACATGCTAATTTTACATGATAAATATGGAAAAAAATAAATTTCTATTAAAACAATCTATAACATTGACGTATTAGAGAGTAAAAATATTCATTTATATTATTATATTTATATATAACATAAATAGGTAGGGGTGAAATTTTAACTCATGTTATTATAGATATTATTCTACAGCCTCATTTAAATGTTTTAGCTGTTAATTGGAAGAAAAAATCACTTATTTATTATGTTTTTTTTATTAAGATATACTATTAAGTGGTCAACATATTTTTGTCTCTTTCTTTTGAGAGGAATGCATTTTATCTCTTTATTTTTTTTCCAGTGGATTGAATCGAAAATTTAAATTAAATATTTTTTAATGTCAATTGATTGAATTCAAATTTAAAAATTTAAAAATTTAATTAATTTTAAAATGTCATCAAGGTTAGGCTGGCATATAAAAGGATGATTACTTATGGATAAGTGTGTGTGTGTATATGTGTGTGTGTGTGTATATATATATATATATATGTACACACACACTGCAAACATCGAAAAACTTCGTCTTTGAACTAAATGGAAATGTGATTGGAAAAAGAGAATGATGCTTCTAATTAATTTATGTTAAGATTAGTATTTACCTGGAGACCAATTTTACGTCTAACGTGTAACGAATATAAGAACTTTTATTATTTTCCTGTTTAAGAATAACATCTCAATAACCCTATTTATATGGTTACAAATGACCGTAAAAAGAAATATTTTACATTTATTACCTAATAAAATAATTCGACTACATAAATAAGAATAATCACGGCAAGCATGCTTATGAATTCTTGTAGTAAATATAATTCAATAGGTCTAAATTACACTAAAGAGAAACTAGGACTAAAAGAAAAAAGGTCACAAATCCATTATACTCTATATATTATGACATCATTAAGAGCCTAAACCAAAAATAGCAAAGTTATGGTACTAAGATTTATTTAGATTTTTATTTAAAATAATGAAATTATGCTCCATTCAAAGGTCTACTAGTAAATTATCTAATTCGAATTATATTTTGTGTAAATGTTCAACCCCAATTTTGTACTATCATTTTGCACTTAATGTGTCTGTTAATGTTTTTTCCAATTCAAATACATATAATTAATACATCATTTTTGTAATTGGATGTAACAAAACTCGAAGTTAAATTAGGTCGTAGACTTTTTATTATATACCATCTTGTTGAATCATCTTCAGTAAAAATTTACACAGTTAAATAAAATTAAAACTTGTTTAAATTTTTTTAACATCTAAGTCGAAAAATCTATCTAAGTTATTCGTCTATTGAATCGTCAACGAACAATTCTTAATAACACATTCATTGCACTCAATTGGAGAATAATAATTTGAAACTTGACCAAGAATTTATTAAAATTAAATATATCATTATGTCAAAATATTAACCACAAGACAAATCAAAGAGAGGACTACATGAAAGGAATCAAGAATTAGATATTATACAAAATATAATAAGCCCTTTGTGATCACACTCATTGTTGCATTCTTGCAACCAAATTGCCAAATTTTCTTTAATAAACTATGAATGATTGTAAGGCCAATCAATTTATCACCAACAAAACACCATGGCCTGATCTCATGTCCCGACAAAGTTCCTAAAAACCCGATTACCCCACAGGCACAAGAAACCAAATGATCCACTCTTGAAAATATTCATGTGGGGCAATAAGCATAAACCATAAAATACACAAACATCACAAAATATATATACTATGCATAAAATTAAACTAATGATTGCATACTATTCGGTGCAATTATAGAGTAAATTATAAAAAAATAAAATTTGGGAAAGAAATTGTGAAAGGTTTGGTGCTTGGTTGGGGAGACAAATAAATTATAGGTCTTGGATATTTTTATTACATTATGGTACAAACTAAAAACAAAATGAGTTGACAGGCCAAAGAGTTTGAAACGATTGACCTGTGTCATCTCCATCAAAGCAGAAAAAACTTGGATTCTCAGCCTCTTGTCCCATCCATTTGACAAAAAATTCCATTCGTCGATACCATAGAAAAATCAAGAACTCCCACCGCATAAAAGGGTAACAAAAATTAATGGTGTTGATTCATGACTGCATAATCAGTCTATAAATATCTCCATGAGTTTTAATCAAACTTTTGCAAACTAGTCTAATTAGCCCCATTTCATGGAAATATTTTTCAGAGAGAGAGAGAGAGAAATTGAAGTATAGTTGAGTTAATACTGATGATCATTGGAGTGATGGTACATTGAAAGATCATGTCGATTCATGGCTTCTCGTTGGTTGTTATGGCCGTTATCGTCTCCTTCATTGATTTTGCATCTCATTTGGGCTGCTGCACCAAGATTTAGATATACCATTCTTGAATCAAGGTTAAGGTTCGCCATGTTTCCGCCGCTTGTGCCACTGCAGGCAGGATTTTCAGTACTCATTGGAGGGTAAATAGTGGCTGAAGAAGGCGCACTTGCATTGCCCTCCTCGCGGGAAATTACCATGGCAGCAGATTGGACAAGCTCAAGGCAAAGCCTCAGTTTGTTTGGTTCAACGTGTGCGAGTCCTGGGACGGCCCCTTTGAAGAGAAAATCAGAAGTTAGGGTTCGAAGGACATCAAGTGGAGTGACACCATCCAAGGTTCGGACATTTGGGTCGGCATGGTGGTCGAGGAGGACCGCCACCATATCGGGTGACACCATTTCGGCGGCAATGTGGAGTGGGGTTTTGCCTGCTGGTCCGACAGGGTAGTTTACATCAGCTGCACCAAGTTCAAGCAGTGTTTTTACCACTTCCCGGCTGCAATTCTCAACTGCATAGTGCAAGGCCAATGCGTCGTCGAGGTTAAGGCCTTCTCCCATTACCATAAGCTTCACAAGTTCGACATCAGAAGAATCCAGGGCTCGTCTCATTCGACGTATTTTTTGGTCTTCGAGATCTGCGGCAGCACCACCAAGATCATGGTGGTGGTGGTGACGAGGCATTAGGGAGCGACGGGCGAGGGTTGATTTGAGACGGAGCTCCTCAATCTTGGCTACAACATCAATAGGGAGGTGTTTGGCTAGAACTTCAGGTGGTAGGCCAGATTTGGCCACCAAATGGGAACAAGTAGTCCATAACTGGTGCATATCTTGTTTTCTTGAAGCTAACAAAACTTTCATTACATCTTCAATTGAGGCCTTCTCTACCATATCTACCAATTGCTTCTGCATTCCAACATAAACAAATTAAAAAATGTCTTAAATTATGCTACAAGTAATTCTTGCTTGTCTAGCACCTTCAGCCTTAATAGTTAGATTTGATTTCTGACCCAAATGAGGAAAGTTAGGTTATTTGGACAAGTTTTGATGAAATCACTGTGGAAGACAAGACTAGAGATCAAAGAACCAAATGTGGAATGTTTCGAGCGTGGCATATAAAGATAGTGAAATACAATTCAAGAAACGTGTTCCTGCGAAATCGAGATTAGAACTTGAAGTGACATAGCATTATTGACGACAGTTTTCACAGAAACAGAAAAAACAAAACCATGTTATTCATGTTGATGAAAACACTGTTGGATCAGATGCTGCAGAAGAAATGAAGAGGATCACTAGTTATACAGAAAGAAGAAACTACTAGATTTTATTGAAATAAAATCAATCCAACAACAAAAGCAAAAGAGGGTGGTTCATTAAAAAGTAAATATGATTTTTTGATCATCAGACTAACATAATTAAATTTTCTGCTTCATATTTTTTCATCAAAATCACCTGGAAAATATTCACCAGGTCACCTAAGTCACATAATTGGCATCTTTATCATATATAAATCAAAAGCCACAAAATTAAAATCTCCTCGTGAGTGCTTTAGAGAGGGAGATAGAGAGAGAGAAGGAAGTCACTAGAGAAAATTGTGGACATGGAAACAAAAAAAAAAAACCTGAGTAAGCAAAGCGAGCTGTTCCACACCAAAGGATCTAGCGGCTACGAGGGTTTCAAGGGCAAGATCAACGGCTGCAGTGCAATGTGTGTGCCAACATCCTCTATCCCCACAATTAGGCCTTGGCTCGTGCTTCTGGGGTACAACAGAGACTTGTCCACTGTACAAGAATTGCAGAATCAACAGGAAAACTTCATACCCCACGGAGTTCACCGGTATAACATGAGGGTTTCCCCCTCTCGGCGAAGATGCTAACCCTCCGACCTGGCCCATCCTGGAGCCCGTCGCATCAAGGCCCGCCGGCGTGTCGGGCCCACAAAAGAATTTTCTGAAGAAGAGGCTTCTGGCAGCTAGGATGCACCTGTGGGCATGGACTAAGCGCCCCTCCACACTGAACGTTACGTCACTGAATGCCTGGCCGTTGATTAGGAGATTGAGATAGTCTAGAGAGAGAGATCTTAAGGAGTCTTCAGGGTTCATGGCGAAGTGTAGAGAGAGAGCAGCAAATGTTTTAGAGAGATTGCACTCCTGTGCGTGTTTCTGTAGATGAAAGATATGTATATGAGTAGAAGGTTCAGTTTTTAAGTGGAGGAGACGAAGAGAGAGTAAAAGCTTGGTGGCTCATTCATTTAATCATTCTCTTCTTCAAATCTTTGATGATTAACTGTTATTTCTTGTGAGACTCTCTCTCTCTCTCTCTATGCAAATGGCTGAGATTACTTTTTATTATACAGTATATGAACATGTAATAAATAGATGATATAATAAACATTATATAGAATTTGATAAGATTTAATGGGTGGGTCCTTGATCTGATGCCTAATTACGCAACAGGATCTTCCTTGGGATGGCCGTATTTATGTATGTATGTTCCTTAACAGGTAAATATGATTTTTTGATCATCAGACTAACATAATTAAATTTTCTGCTTCATATTTTTTCATCAAAATCACCTGGAAAATATTCACCAGGTCACCTAAGTCACATAATTGGCATCTTTATCATATATAAATCAAAAGCCACAAAATTAAAATCTCCTCGTGAGTGCTTTAGAGAGGGAGATAGAGAGAGAGAAGGAAGTCACTAGAGAAAATTGTGGACATGGAAACAAAAAAAAAAAACCTGAGTAAGCAAAGCGAGCTGTTCCACACCAAAGGATCTAGCGGCTACGAGGGTTTCAAGGGCAAGATCAACGGCTGCAGTGCAATGTGTGTGCCAACATCCTCTATCCCCACAATTAGGCCTTGGCTCGTGCTTCTGGGGTACAACAGAGACTTGTCCACTGTACAAGAATTGCAGAATCAACAGGAAAACTTCATACCCCACGGAGTTCACCGGTATAACATGAGGGTTTCCCCCTCTCGGCGAAGATGCTAACCCTCCGACATGGCCCATAGTGGAGCCCGTCGCATCAAGGCCCGCAGGCGTGTCGGGCCCACAAAAGAATTTTCTGAAGAAGAGGCTTCTGGCAGCTAGGATGCACCTGTGGGCATGGACTAAACGCCCCTCCACACTGAACGTTACGTCACTGAATGCCTGGCCGTTGATTAGGAGATTGAGATAGTCTAGAGAGAGAGATCTTAAGGAGTCTTCAGGGTTCATGGCGAAGTGTAGAGAGAGAGCAGCAAATGTTTTTGAGAGATTGCACTCCTGTGCGTGTTTCTGTAGATGAAAGATATGTATATGAGTAGAAGGTTCAGTTTTTAAGTGGAGGAGACGAAGAGAGAGTAAAAGCTTGGTGGCTCATTCATTTAATCATTCTCTTCTTCAAATCTTTGATGATTAACTGTTATTTCTTGTGAGACTCTCTCTCTCTCTCTCTATGCAAATGGCTGAGATTACTTTTTATTATACAGTATATGAACATGTAATAAATAGATGATATAATAAACATTATATAGAATTTGATAAGATTTAATGGGTGGGTCCTTGATCTGATGCCTAATTACGCAACAGGATCTTCCTTGGGATGGCCGTATTTATGTATGTATGTTCCTTAACAGCTTTCTGATCTGATTAATTAAATTCTTGGAAAATGTTAACAGGTTGTTTATGCATTAAGAAAATTAGTTGTAAATCATGTTAGGTCCCAAGTGTATTTGCAAAGTTCTGTGTCCAAATAGCCATTTTATCGAGATGGATTTAGGGTTAAGTAACGAGGGTTAAGAGAATCTTTAGAAGGAATCAAAGACAATTCAAGAAGATCGAGTCAAGTCAAAAATCCTAAAGTGGCTGCCAAGTGAACTACTCAAGCGGTTTTAGAGGAATTGGACCGCCCACTAGCAGCCCAAGGGGCGTCGAGCGGTCATGTAGTTTTGGAAAACGTTGTTCATGACTTTCAGCCTATATACAAGCCCAACTCATAACTCTCGATATTATAAATACTCAAGGAAAAATCCGTCTTATTGTTTGTTGAGCCTTTGTTCATTTAAGAGAACACATTATTGAAAATCAAATACTCATTTCATAATTCTCTTGCCTCGAACACAGTACTAAAACATCAAAAATCCGAAAGATCGGAAACACCATTAAACCCTTACAAAATATCTTTCAAAGTTCTGAAGATCCAAAGTGGTGACCGGAGTTTCAGTTCACGAAGAATGTGTTCATTCTTGGTGATCCATGAGGAGAAAAGAAAATTTAAGGTTCTGGAGCTGGTGTTGAAGTGTACAACTGATGAGTTTTTCGGTGATTATGAGTTGGAGACCAGAGTCTACTAAAGTTTAACTGTATTTGAACCAATTATGCAAAATTAGTCTTTTCTAGGGATTATTTACTAGCATATGTTTGGAGGTTTTTTCTATTGAAAATTTTTTCAAGGATTTCTCCATCGTAATCAAATCATGATTTTGATTATTTTTCTGCTTTATTATTTATACTTGATTGACTGTTAGAGTTTAAATTGATTTTAATCCATCTGGATCCAATAATTTGTGACTTGTTGCATATAATTGTTTATTAATTTTTAATTTCACATATTACACCTATTCACCCCCTCTAAGTATTAGTTGGGTCGAACCTCGATTATATCGAGGTTCGATAATACACCATTTCTTTGACTAAAGCTTCCTTCACTTCATAAGCCAAAAACTTTATTTATGAATACTAGAAAATGTAATATATGAGCTTCCAAATTGACGCAATATTCTAACATGGACAAATTTGGCTTCCATACTTCATGCAATGAGAGAAAAAACCGTTACGTATAGAATTTTTTCCTTAAAAAATATTCTATACATATATACCAAAATTGGTAGTAAATAGTTTATTTTCCTTGACTGTCATTTCTAGGTCTTGTTCGTAAAGATAGGTATTCTCGTTTAAATTATTTTATTATTCACGAATCTACAAAAAGGAATAGATCGATTTCAACCATGGAAATTTTTAAAATGCATGAATAAGTTATATTTTTTAAATTAATAATTATTGTATTATTCAGTATTGTAATAGTTAAAGTAATTCTTATTTTATTAATTTTAGTTGTGAATCAGTAATTAACTTAAATGGGAAATTTAGCCCTTGTTTGGTGAGGGTAAAAGTCAAATTTTTAGTGGATTTTGATAAAAGTTGATGAAATGTATGATTGTAAAGATACGGAACTCATAAAATATATGATTAAAATTAATTGTTAATTTAAATTTAAATTAAAATATAAATTTTTATCAATACCAAACAGGGACTTAGTAGTAGCGGTACCCCACTCGCGACAAACAAACCATAGTACAAATTTTGCAAAGTAAAATTCTACATCTAGATATCTAACCGTGCACTAATTATTTTCTAGTTCAAACTTCCCGTACCCCCTAACTGCCATAGACTTTAGCCCTTGCTTGTCTTCCATTCCTTTAGGCTTCAAAACTCTTTATTCTGTATACTCATTTTCAACTACACATTTAAATAATAAAATATTTTACAAGTAAACCCAATATTTTTCACTACTTTTTAATTGTACATTTTCCAAAAACACACTACTCAAAACAGTGTTTTTCCAAACCCCAAAAAAAAAAAAAAAAAGCCACTTAATTTCCATCAATTTATATAGTATTTATTTTATACATAAAATTGACAATTTATTCTTACACTATTTGCAATTATTTTATCAATTGTTATATTATGTATACGGTGCATTTAATCATTTCTAAAAATATGCAAAATTATTGAAGAGTATATTGCAAATAATCAATTTGTGCTTAAAAAATAAAATTAAAGATCGATAACCTTTCAGCTATTTGATCGTCAACTTCGACTGTAGTTACTTAGTACTCATATCTAAGAAAACTTACATGTTGAGTGTAAAATTTAGGCACAAATATTATAGTTTCCATTTGAAAAAATTAATAATTCACTTATGAATTGTAAAATTTAAATTTCGATCACATATTTCAATAGACAAGTAATTTATTCATTATTTATTTTTATATTTATTATAAATTAAACGGTAAGTAATTCAAGAAAAAAAGTTGGCAAATAATCGAGATATTTGTGTTGCTTGTTTACAAACAAATTGACACCTTGACTATCACACAAAACGTCTGTTTCTCACTTGTTCATTTAAATAATTTTGATTTGACACAAAAAAGTAATCAAATGGGTTGATTAGTTGTAAAATAATTTGAAAAAATAGAAATCACCAGAATCGACAACATGTCTGTTACCCTTATGTTTCTAACTTTAATAACAAACAAAAAAAAGGATAAAATAACAATTATAAGAAATAAAGGAAATTTTAATTTTATATTTCATTATTTAAATAAAGGGAATACTTATTTTCAGAACTAAGAGAGTAGCTATTTTCCAAATTATTAATGAATAACTTGACTATTAAAATAAATCAAGCACCCTAGTTAGTTTTACAATATATTACAAAATATTTATAAAAAAAATTAAAAACTATTTAAATTTTAATAAATTTTATACATAAATACGTATTTTTCCTTAGTGAGTTTCCGGAATATAACGTTGATAATTTATGAAGTGTTATTTAGAAAAAAAAATCACTATAATGAGAAGTATCGAGCAAAACAACGCCTTCGAGTTAGTAGGTATGGTAATAAAGACTATATGAGAGAGTGAATTTAGAATAAAAGATCATTCTGAGATTTTAATTAATGAAAATAAAGGAATTGGTCAATTAGATCAAAGATTTAGAATTGGATAAATAAAGATTAAATTAAACACGTTAGCAATGAATCGAGAAAACTATAAATATAGAGAGAGAGAGAGAGAGAGAAAACAAAAAGAATAATGTTATTTGTATTTGGCTACTACAACACTAGTCGTTCTACATGAAAATTGTTTGACAGCTTATTATTTAAAACATTAATTTCTATAATTTTAGTGTTTCAAATAACAAATGATCACGTATGATGACGAAAAAATAAAAATTAGCCATGAGGCGTGAGGTGGGGTATGCCTCCTAATGGAGAAGTGTGTCGGCTGGAGCCAACTGGGAGTTAGATTTAGGATTGGACATGGTGCACGTGAGACAAGACCTCACTCGTGCTAACTAGAGAAAATGTGCCGGTTTATATTTTGTTGCTAAAATTCGGGAAACACAAAAGTTGAAATACACTTTACTATAATTGTGAATATTTTCAAAATACAACATCAAAATCCCACAATAATTCAAATATTTTGAAAATTTTGAATGTTAATTCGTCGTTTTCTATCAAGGTACTTACAACTAACACGTGCTTTAAATTTTGTTAGATTGTTGAGTAGAAGTATTTGATACTCAAATCATTTGAAATATATATAATTAACTATGACATGAATAATACACATCGTATAGAGTAGAAGATTGACATGTGTTAATGTCTTATAGACTCATGATCATCACGAGTCTAGATAAATTGCATTGTTATAAAAAAAAAATGATTACTTATCTTCTTTATGAGTTAATATTCTTGAAGGAGTGCAGAGTTAATAAAAAAGAAAAAAGGTACACAAATATAAGTCTTGGTACACATATATCATATATGTCATAATTGAGTGACTAAGTCACCTTAATTTTAGCCGAGACTTCCTAAAATAATTTATTTGCTAGTAATCCGTCATAGTTGAACATGTATATTGCATAGGTTATCGCAATCACTCATTAAATATTGTAGGGTTGGATGTACATCGCAGTTGAATAAAATTTCTTTATAGGCCTAACATAACTTCACATCAAGATTACGTGCGCTTATAATCAAACAAATTGAACAAAGAATAAGGTACATAAAGTGTGCTATCATGTAAATTGGTTAAAATATTCTATTGTAAACCAAAACTTTCTTTAATGATGATTTCATTAGTTTTTCTTTAGAAGATATGCTTCACATACATATTGATTTTATCAATATATGTGTCCATTATATGTAACTAATTACTTAATTAAACTTTATTGAATTAAAATGTTAAAAATAATGGAAACAAATTATTGATTGGATTTAAATTTTTGTTGAATGATTGGAGTGTAAAGCAAGAACTATTGTTTTGCCCTAAGTCTAACAAAAAAGAGAAAACAGAGAAAAATAGAGAGTGATGGACAACACATCACTGACTGTCTTATGATTTGAAGTGTTTGGATTTGACATTTGTCTTGTCATTTCAAATACCCTCTTTTTCCTTCCCCCACTCTGAGAATGACCCCTCACTCAATCTATTGTCTCCTCTAGTAAATCTCTCTTAATGCCCACCCCCCAATTGCCCCAGTTTGACCATATTATTTGAGATTTTTTTTTTCAACATATTTATTTTCAACCACATATCTATACAATATAATATTTTACAAGTAAATTTAAAATTTTTTCCAAATTTTAATCACACATTTTTTCTAAATTTTACTATTCAAAACTTTTTTTTTTTTCAAAATAATGGTTGT